ACCGGTCTGTATGTGGGATCCGAACCCTCGGCAGGAGCGCCTCCACGCTTCCCAAGCGGCACACTAGCGCAGTGCGCCACCGGGCCGACCCCATAACAACTATACTTTTATGAAGTTGTTACAACAAGCAAACGGAAAGGACATTCTTGGGGGGGAGGGGAGAGAGGGAGGAGGGAGGGAGGTGTCGGTGATGGGCCATAATAATCATATACAGTGTATATTGACAAAATAAAAATTTAACAACAACAACAAAAAAAACAGTTCATTGATTCATTGGTTCTACAATTAATTATTTCATGTTGCTCCATGGTCAGCACTATGCAAGGCACATATATGATATATATACATATGTATACATATATAATATGTATACATAGGTACATAGATTCATAGATCAAATTTTAGTCCCCAGTCTCCAAGAGCTTAGTAGGTAAAGTGCCCTAAGAGTGATAGAGAAATAAATTTGCAGTGTGCAGAAATTCTGGGAGAGATTATTTTTATCTATAGTTATCCACAAAGGCTTAATGGAGGAGGAAGAAGCTGTGCTAGACTTTGAAGACCAGGAAAGACCCTGGCAGAGGCCTGTTTTGGAAGGTGAAGTTGATAGGAGAGCATTTCAGATGAGAGAGAACAGCTTGCTGGCTTCAGCAAAACCTGAATAAAAAGCTGTATACAAGGCCCACTGAGAAAAAAGTGAGAATTTCAGTTACAGGAGATATGAGACATCAGACTCAAGAGGTCGTCTGTGGCTGGATCGTGGAGGGTTTTGATGGCAGACTGAGCAGTGCAAGCTTTCTCCTGTAGGCATGACAACAGGAACTAAAACCTCAGAGGCTGGAATGAGGATTTTATGCTACTGTGATTATTTTTTCCTCTCCATTTGTCTTTCATCTCTGCTCACCTTATCTGACTTTATTCTCTTCTACCTGAAGACAGGTTTTTTCCATGTGGTAGGAAAGATGGCTGCTGGCAGCCTGACCCTTACATCTTTCCAGCTCTGAGATGCTAGAGGCAAGGCCACTTCTGGTTTAACTCCAGAAGACATCTCAGGGAATGGCTCTGATTGGCTCCCTTTTCATCACCTGCCCACAGCTGAACCAATGACTGTGTCTAGGGATACGTGACATCACGGGTTGAGTACCTATCCAGAGAGGGCGGGATACAAATCATCAGAAGGGGATTGGTGACCTTGATTGGACAAATAAGAACAACAGCTACCCTAGTCTTCTTAGAGTTAGATACACCTAGAGTGATCTTTTAAAATTGTAAATTCAATCATGTTGCACCCCACTTGCCAACCTAAAGCTATTTGCCATTGCACTTAGAATAAAATCCAATTTGTTCTTCTGATTTTCAGTGCATTATTTTATATGACTTCTCTCTATGTTTCAAACTATTTTCCCTTCTCTCATGACTCATCAACAAGGCATTAGCTGCATGGTCATTCACTCACCAAACGTATTTCAGGCTTAAAGCATTTATTTATTTATTTGTAGTAAAATTTTAATATCCCAAAGAGAAAAAAATGTAAATGACTAAGTGTATTATTTAAAAGAGTGAGACTTTCAGATTAGAAGGGAGAAAAACATACACACTCCCAACCCTTACCCCAATAAAGATATGTATTGTTTAGAAGGAACAACTACAAAATTGAAGAACAAAGAAAAATTGAAAATAAAGGACTGAAAATGGAATACCTGACAAAAACCTACCAAAACAAACTGGAATAACTAAATTAATACAAAGAAAAATAGATTTTAAGTATGATTATTGGAGATAAATAAACCATTACATAATAATACAAATAATAGAACAGTTTTAAACATTTATATACTTACCAATATAGCCTCAAAGTATTTCATACAAAATATGCCAGAATTGCAAGAAGAAATTAAATCCAGAAGCATGGTGTGAGATTTTAATATGCTTCTGTCAGAAATTTATAGATCAGGCAAAGTCTAAAAAGGGAATAGCCAACTTGGGCAATGAAATTAATAAACTAGACCTATAGATATTATACATAGGAGCTTCCACTCAACAATTAAGCATGCATTGTCTTTTTAAATGCATGTAGCGTACATTTCAAAGTTTGCTTATGGACTAGTCCTTGGATTCAGGACTCACATACCAATAAACCAGTATCACCAAGACCACATTATCTAACATGCATTAAAAGTAGAAAAAAAAAAAAATATATATATATATATATACACACACAAACATATATTCACCTATTCTACATTTGGAATTTGACGAAACACTTCCAAATATTTCATAGTACAAGAAACAATTCAAAATAAAATTAGAGAATATTTAGAACTGAATGACATTTAAAACACATTTACAAAAACTTGTGAGATACTGCTAAATAGCCTTTAAGTTATTCCCTCTCATCTTCATATGCCTGACTTTTGTCATTCAGCTTCTTTCTTTCTCTCTTTCTCTGTCTCTGTCTCTTTCACTCACATACACACATACATGCACACACATGCATGCACACACGCACACACACACATCAGGTTTATTGTTAGGAGACAGTTCTCCATGTCTTGCTTTTATTTCTGCACATGTGTATCAGCTTTCACTCTGCACTGTCTTTTCAAGGATGCTTGTATAGCAAATAGCCTTAGAAGATAGAGATAGTGGAGATAGTGTCTCCCTCAAGTAGAGGGCAGATTTGGTGCCCCCCCAGCCCCATCTAGGATAATAAGATGTCTCTGTTCAGGGCAAGAGTAAGGCAGTTTGACTAAGAACTCCTTTATAAAACTGGGAGTTTTCTAAGTTTAGGATTCCTCAGTTGTCATACAAACCCACTGTGTGCAGATTACCCACCTGAGCCTGTCTCTACATCACCTCCATGAGATTTGGGCTGGGAGGTACCAGTGCAAAGTTGCAGCTCATGCTGCCTGCTGAGCTATGAGTAATAAAGTCCCTTGTCTCTGACCTGAGAGTCTCGTGTCTCTTTCCAGCATCTGTGAAACAAGCAGGCTAACTTGTTAGCTTGCAAGCAGGATAAGATCTCAGACCCTTGGTGGTTCTGGGTGATATAATTTACTTATAATACAAATTCATCCCTTTCAGGTTTGCTATTCGATGAGTTTTGAGAAAGGTTACAACAAAGGTCATAAAATCACCACCACAATCAAATCACAGAATAGTTCCATCACCCCAAGAAATTTCCTTATTCCCCTTTGCAATCAGTTCTCTCTACCTCAAACCCTGGCAAGCACCGATCAGAGTTAAATCCATTTAGTCTTGCTCTGTTTTACTTTTATAATCAGAAAAAAATATATTTTTAATTATTTAGAGATAACAACAACAACAAAACCAGGGAAAGAAAAGGTGCCTGTAGACCTGAACTCTGAAGGGTGAGCAGGACATTGGTGGTAGGAGCGATAGGAATGGAACTATAGATGAGGCTCTTCTGGAGTCAGAATTGGAAGGATTTGCAAACGATAGTCATGTAAAAAGCATAGGCAGAATAAAAAGGAGCAAACAGCGGTGGGATTCTGAATATCAGTCCCTGAGACCTTGGGAATGGGTTGTCAATAACCCTGACGAAGAGGTCAGGCAGAGTTTATGGGGCAAGGGAAGAGACACAGAGATGGTTCAATGTCCAGGGGTCTCCTCTCCTGTGCCTCCATCAGCTTCCCCCTGGCAAAGTTAGTTGCTGCTTTCTCTACTCAGGTTTATGTTTTTGTCGTCATATCTCTGAATGCTTTTGACTGTTAGCATTTGATTTTTTGTCTGTTTCAAGGTTACGTTGCAAGCTTTACAGGCTGCTTGAATAGCAGCAGTAAGGGTAAGATACAACAACACTATGTCAGCATCCTTGAACACTAGTTATTTGAAGTATAAAATAATCATTTCAAAATGTTCTTTAATAAAAAAGCAAATTCCTTGTGCATTTGGTAGCATGATTGAGCTAAAAGACTAGCACTAAAATAAGAGTGCAGAATTCCAGATGAAGCAAGGGCTATTGAGTCTGTGTTAGCAGGCTTCCTAATTCCTCTCCTGTCCAATTACAGATGCATGAAAACACTCCAGATAAAGAGTCAGAAATTTGCCTGCCTTAGGAAAGATGTGGTTGTAAGAAATAGAAATGAGAGAAGAAATAAGAAATTATGAGAGAACTCATAAGAAATGAGTTCAAGTGAAGAATATTTTAGGGCTAAAACACGGAATGCAATTGAGGTTCAAGGTTAGGAAATAATGTACATCAGGACCCAAGGCTAGCACTGTGAAATGAACAGGCTTCTTGGAGTTGAGTGGCCCTGAGACCCTGTCTAGACTGCACATAGTACTGGAACTGGGAGATCAGATACCAGACATCCCTCCCTCCTGTGCCTCTCTCCCCTCCACAGTCTCTATGTAAATTGCAGTCGCTCATCCTGCTTTTCTCACGATGGCTACATTTACTTTGCAGAACAATCTCCCCTTGATTCATCCATATGTGCATGGCTAAAAATGGACTATCTAAGAGACTCCAGTGACCACAGCCAACCACCTGCAGTCACCTGACTATTCAGGTCCTTTAGTTCAAGTTCTCAAAATTGGGCCAGCTCCACTGATGGACTGGTGGTAGGTCTGGTTTTCAACCTGGGTCTGGTCAGGGGAGCTGATATCCGTGGAAGGAGGGGCCCGTGGCATGCAGCAGCCTCTCTGAGACTGACAGCAATGAGCAACTCTGCTAGGCTTCCTTCTGACTTTCCAGTTAAAATTCACGTAGTCCTTACTTTTAAGAATTTTATAGACTATCTTAGTAGTTAAAGTACATAAATCATGTTTCTTAGGTAACATACTTTACTAAAATAACATGAATAAAGAAAGATACTAGGGAAAAGAACTTCCTTTCTTTTGGGAACTTTCTTGAATTGGAAAGCATTAAATTATTTCCCAAGTGTCTTCTACAGAATAGTTTCCCCTGAGAAGACAGGTGTTTAATGAAAGAAATGCGTCCTGTAGGTCTGATAATTTTGTGAAAAACCTAATTAAAAAAAATCATTTGGGACTGTTCCTGCAGGAGTTCTCAAAACTTGTAGTATGCTGATGTGCATTTTGGGTCTCAAAGGAGGGACACAATGTGTGGCTTTGACTACTGACCTTTTTATCTGGAGTACTTTGTGGGTCTGGAATTTGACAGCACATGGATTAAGAAGCCTGGCTAAACCAAACCTGATAATCCTTGCTTTACCTGGAATTCTGTGCTCTTACTTTAGTGCTAGTCTCATTAGTTTAATCACACTACCAAATTCACAAGGGATTTGCTTATATTCCTAAAATCCATATGGAAAATATTGTAGGAAATTTAAATGCACAGAGTTTCAAAAATGTCATATTGGATAGCCCCAACTCTACAGATCAATTTTCATGCTCAACTATTTATTCTGCAGCATTTAAACTTAACTGTAAAGTACAAAAACAAAAAACAAACAACCCCCCCCCAAAAGGATTCATATGGTTTACACACCTAAAAATAGCCATCTTTAAGTTGTTGATGGTCGAAGCCAGGAAGTTTGGAGTAGAACTTAGAAAAAGGATTCCAACTGGTGCTGTTTAGATGCCACTAATTCTGAGCTTGAAATTGGAGCCATTTAAAAAAATACAAATTGGAAGGAATTGGGTTTATGTCAGTTGCTACTTCACATTTGCAAGTGCAATAAAATAAAGTTTATTTGTTCTAGGATTCTCTAAATGATATTGTCTGTTTGTTTCCTTGAGGGGGAAAATTTAAATAGACTTTAATCTACTGAGATTTCGATTTAAAAGAAAAGCACACAGTGTCTGAGTTTTCTGTGTGTGGGCAGTTGTAACCAGCCATATGTTTACTTTGTAAATTCCACTTGAGGGTGCCATTTAAGCTGTTTCAATTTGGGTGGAAGTTCTGTCAGACTTCACAAATTAGATTTATACTCAAAGAGTTTGCTAGGATTTTTTGCAGAGGCGGTGGGCAGGTCTGTCGGGATTAAGGACAACCTATTGCTTTTTAAGAGTAAATCCTGATAAGTTCTTCTTTGCATGATGGAATTAGAATATCATCAAGAATCATTCAGCAGATGCTAAAACTGGTGGGTGAGGGTATGAGAAACAATATTTGCATCGTCTCAAAGCATCTGTCCACAAGATATTTCTTAAATACAGAGGGGGTAAAGGTAATTTACGGTGAAGTAACTTGGCAGATACCATCTTACCCAAGTGTTTCCTACTTCCCAGGGGGGGTGGAGGGTGGGAGGACGGAGGCTGTCAGGGACAATCCCTTCCCCTTCACACTGTCATCTGCAGGTGTCGGGTCCCCTCCCTTCCCACACTCCCCAGGATGAAACAATGACTCCCTTGTCTACCAAAGCTAGTGTTCTCCTCTGTACACAGAGTTGGGTCCATTATGGTTATTTGTTTGTCTGCTCATTTGTTGAGGACATGCTGTGTCCTAAGTGCTGGGATTCAGCATGAAATAAGACAAGTCCCTGTCTCTAGGGTCTTTCAGCCAGTGCAAGAGACAAATATCTCAACACAACTATTACAGAACTTTGTGATCCGTAGAGGTAAGCATGAGGTGCCACTGGAGTACAAGGGCCAGGGCTGAACTAGCTGAATGGCACCAGGAGGGACAAATGGTTCTTAAATGACTGAAAATAGTTTCATCTTGATTAATAAAAGCCAGAATCCGAGACCCTGACCACTTCCCTGGGATACCCCAAACTCGCACGCCACAGTAGAATAATTAAAGGATTAAGCTCAAAATAGTCAGGACCCCAGGACCTACTCTTGTGCTTTTCCTACTCCTTTCTGATTGCCCTTAGCCTGCATGGAAGGTGAGGGAAGGCTTCCTGGAGGAGGTGAGAGAAGTCTTCCTGGAGGAGGTGATGCTTGAGCCAAGAATGAATCAGAGTTAGCCAGGTAAAGCACAGCATCTGTTCAGGCCCCTGGGTGAGAGGGAATGTGGCACCTCTGGGAAACCACAGAGCACGAGTATGACAGGCTTAGGAGATGCTGGGGCAGGATGCTGAGAAATGGCCCAGAACAGGGAAATTGAGGCCAGATCAGAAAAGGCCTTATATGACCTTCTAAGCCAGCTGAACTTGATCAGACAAGCTGTAAGATGCCTTCGAAGAAGTCTACAATAGGAAGCAAATACAATATAGATTTATATTTTAGAAAAATAGCTATGATATAATTGAGGGAAGGGTGTTGAAGGGCCACAAAACCTGTTTGCAGGCTGTTGAAGTAATTCAGGCAAAAAATGAGTTCCTTCAATAAAATCGAAGCAGTGGAGATGTAGAGAAGTGGTTGGAATCCAAAGACATTATATAAGGTAGAATTAGCAGGGCTTCGTGATTAGATTAGAGTGGTGAGCTACCAGTTATAAAATTGTACCATCCATTTAGCACATGGGAGAACGATCTTACCCGAAGTGAACCATTCAGTAAGAATTTGGGCTGTGCTTCCAAAATGAAGAATTGATCTTGCACAGGAACTTAATGATTAGCTCGTTCCCAAACCATTATTTTCTGAAGATTAGCAGATGAAAACTACGCATTTGCTAGTCTTTTGGCAACCATAGTGAGGTTACTGTGAAGGTTTTGGTGCAGCTTTAAGACAGTGCGAGGGCAGCACAACTTCTGCAGCCATAGGTCCCTGCATCCTCCTTTCGCCGTCACTGGTGCATACTCTGACCTGCATTCCTCGGTGGGTCCTGTTTTACCCAGGATGGATCATGAAGCCGCCCGGCTGGAGAAGCAGCACGTGCATGATGTGTACAAGAGCACTGCCCCCTATTTCAGCGACCTGCAGAGCAAGGCCTGGCCTCGTGTCCGCCAGTTCCTCCAGGAGCAGAAGCCGGGCAGCCTCATCGCTGACATAGGTAACCCAGGGCTGCGCCACGTAGTGTGAAGTATATTTCATCGTGCCTTTCCTTTTCCAGATTCATTTTTCATTTTTGTTCTAACAGGAGGCCTGAAATTGTGTCCATGGCATGTCAGGATCTAGAATATTCACCTTATAGCAGAAATTCATATAGTCGAGTCAGCAAGTAGAAAGTTCCTCAAAGCTACATTTAGACAGTGTTAATCTTTTCAGGGCCTTTGCACACATACTCCACCAAAATTGACCTGACATTGATTGGATAAATCAGGATGGAAATGACCACGTGTGAAATTGACCATTTTAAATTTAGAGACGTTCACTTTTTTTTTAAATGTGTTTTGTTCTGGCAGCTCACCCTGAGTAGCTCTCATTCCTTCTACAGAAGAGCCAGAATTGTAGGGTTATGAAATTGGTCCTATAACCTCTTATTGATCTCATGGATCCTTGCGTTTAATTATTATGGAGGTGTTTTATTGTTATAGCATATCTTTAATTAGATAATATTTCCAAAATCACTGATGTGTCTGGAGTATCTTTCTGAATTGAAAAGTAGTAAACCACAACCCAGCAGATCTAAGACTAATATTTAAGATGTGATTAGATTCCCGTGTGAGGCATGCCCACCTAAAACCCCTTTCTAGCAATTGCATGCTGACTGCACCCATAGGAGTCATCTCTGTAGTTAGAAATTCTGTCCAGTTTACATTTGCTCTAAATACTCGCCAGAGAAACAGACACGTCTGCAGCTTTGAACTCGTCAAAGATGGCTGAGCAGTGTGGAATTTGGGGGAGGGCTGCATGTCACATAGAAATTGGGAGTCTTTGAAAAGTATCTCTGTCATGCCAATTTTTAAAAAATAAATCTGGTTTCAGAAGATGCAGCAAATTTGGAACTCTTACCACCCATAATCTAAGCAATGAGCTAGAATGTTAAAATCAGTATGTGGGGGAAGAAACTATTCAATAAATGGCTTTGGGACAACATATGTATAATGTATAATGAGAGCTACTTTCTCACATATTACACCAAAATAAATTTCAAGTGAGGCAACGACTTAAGTGTAAGAAAATGAAATCATTAAAGGGTAAGATGACAACTAGATTATTTACAAAAATAGTCTCAGAGGGGAAAGGCCTCTCTGTGTATGACACACACACACACACACACACAGAAATCATGAAGGAAAATACAGTTGATTTGTCTTCATTCACAGTATTATAAAGTTATCACGAACACTGGATTAATGAATATTGAATCATTGTCCATGGGGGGAATATAGGGTTCGGTTCCTGTGAGCCTCTGGTCACAACATTTTTATCAACTTGTCAATAAAGATGTTTAAAGATGCCTTATTACAATATATTGTTGATTCATTAATCTTTTTTTTTTTTTTGACCAGTAAGGGGATCGCAACACTTGGCTTGGTGTTGTCAGCACCACACTCAGCCAGTGAGCACAGCAGCCATCCCTATATAGGATCCGAACCCATGGCCTCGGCACTACCAGCGCTGCACTCTCCTGAGTGAGCCACGGGGCCGGCCCCATTAATCTTGAACTCACATGCAACACACAATAGCTCATGTCTGAACAAAGCTTATTGAACACATATATTTTGTCCATAATGGACATCACTGCCTTATGTTCAGGAACACTAGGCAGCATTTCAGCCCTATGCTTCGGGGGGCATTTTAAACAATGAAATCACCAAGAAAAATGCAGAAAACATGGCACTGAATGGATTGTGGAAGAGACAATAGTTCACCGTATTTCAGAGAGCTGAAACAAGAAAGCTAAGAACGGGGAGCTCAGGTGACCCAAACTTTACTAACCACATCATTGCACTCTGCAGTCAAGCTGACTGGCTGAGGCGTGTGATGATAGCTCCTGGTGTGGAAACTGAGTCCCGAGAGCAGGGATCAGGGATTAAGTGAGCAGGAACAGCAGCCTCAATAAAAGGAACTTCAGTGATTCAAAGACAGTGGAAATGCCAAGATCTTCTCTGGAAGTGCTGTGCCCTGTGTACTTACGGCAGTACCTGTCCTGAAATGGGCTAGTCAACCTTCAGTCCACTGGCTGGTGCATGAAGGGCATTCTGTGGTTGGAAATCTTTACTTGGATCAGTTTAGAAAGTAGGAAAAAGACCAGAGCTGGATTCTTTTTGAGCAAAATTCCCCTTTTACAAAACTGGCATCAGAGGCAACTGTCCTAATAGCATGGAAGATTTTAGTTTTGTGTACATAATAAAAATTAACTTTTCGATAATGAGGCTTCCACTTGTCTCTTAATTCTCAGTGTATTTATTCTTATCTCAATGGTCCAATTTAACTGGCTAAATTCTTCTCTGATTAGGATTTCTTCACTGAGACAATGAAAATTCAGAACTCTTCCTATGTGCCTGTAGAATAAAACATAGTTCCTCATCTCTGGCCTCAAGAAATGTACATAAAACGGGAAACACATGGCTATATTCTCCTTTTTTCCCATAGGAAAAGAGAATTCTCTTTCAGACAAGGCCTTAGCAAAAAACTCATGATTTTAAAAACGTGTTTGTTTCTGCAAACTTCAGTGTGCAGTCTCTGTCAGTGCTATCTATGCAAGGTTTTTGTTTAATGAGATTTTGTAAAGGAGCATGATTGTTGTGTACTGGAGCTTGCTACAGTATCAGTAATGTTCTGATTTACATTTAAGATAATGGGACGAGGCTTGGCACTATTCTTGATTTCCTCATTAAAATAAAATCTTTCCATTTCTAGCATCTCAGTGCATGCACTTTGAAAGTGGATGATTATATCGTATTTGGAAGTTCCACTACCACCTTTAAAAATGAAAGCCATTAGAAATGAATGTAGGGTAAATCAAGGGCACCAGGGCTCTGGAAATGTTTCAGGAGCTGTTTAAATTTGGAAAGACAGTTTCCTCTTTATTACCAAATGCTTTCTCAACAGTTCCTGCTAGCATTAATGGTCTAGGAATTTGTTTTCATCAGTATCTTTGAAGTAATTTTCCCTTTCATTTATCCAAATGTATTCTTCCAGCCAATAAAAGAGCAAACAAATTTCCAAGGCTATTTCTCTTAAAATAGGATGATCATCTTTGAAATATACAGGATTTCAATTTTAAAATATTTTGTGAATTATATTTCTCCCACAATTGCCCTCAAAGAGTGGCTACTTTTTCTCCTAAGCATTGTTAGGAACAGTGGCTGTGCGATCTAAAATGTTTCTAAAATGTTTCAAGACCCCAGTCATGTACATTGAAATAATAATGTTAGAAATCTTATTTTTTATTCATGTGCTTTCCACTGGCTCAGCTGGCATCAGTGAACCTTAATTTTGCTTTTATTACCTCATAATTTTGAAAAGCTCCTATTAAGGAGAGTTATTAAAGTTTTGTGATGTATTTCAGAAGAAGGAAACTAATCATTGAATAGCGGTAGGTATTTTTTTCCAGGCAGAACAATCTATAGGTAATGCCAGTAGGTACAGGTATCAGCACTAATAATTTCTGTAAATATTTCTGTAAAGGAATTAGACAAAATGTCTGTGATAGAATATAACACTAGATACTAAATTGTAGAGGGCTTTGTTTCAGGATGGTTATTTGTGTTATTACCTTCTTCGTCATAATATCAGTAAGATCTGATTGACTCAAATCTTTCAGTTGTGTAAATTATGAATTATTTGGATCTCTGCGCCTGGAAAGTGAATGTCAAAAATGGCCTATTTAAGAAAAAATAGCTCTTTGTCAAAGTTGTGTACTGAGTCAACACAGATCATTTAAAACCTAGCATTGACAACAGATTGGATAAAAAGATGTTAAAACTTAATTTTTCATTCAAATTCAAATTCAAAAAATTGAAAAGCATGTTTTATTGTATAAATTATTTTATTTATATCCATTGAAAGTTGTTGACAGTAGTCTGTTTTCAATAGTCAGAAAGTGGTCAGAGTCTTTGGAGTGACAACAGGAGGATAAATGCCTTGGCGTGCACACATAATACTGAAACACACATGTGGAGGTGACAAGACTGCACAGTCTGTCCCTGTGATGCTGGAACTATTATTCCTGGCCATGGGACTGCTGACATGTTTTGGTTGTGCTAATGTGCTAAACCCTATGGACAATATCTCATTCAATATTCAATAAGTGTTATTTCACTTGTCCATTCCCTTTTCTCTCTCCTATTCTATATGGAAATATGTAAGTAGTTTCTGAAGGCTTTTCTGTTGCTTTTGGGAATACCTTTACACCATGTTGTATTCTGTCTTGGTTAGTTAGTATAACTTACTTATTCTCCTCCTTATAGGACAAATTAGGAATTTTCCACTTTCCATCAAGGACAGCATGTGACACAGGTTTTTCTCTTATAGGTTGTGGAACTGGAAAGTATCTTAAAGTGAACAGCCAGGTACATACCCTGGGCTGTGACTACTGTGGGCCATTGGTAGAGATTGCCCGGAATAGAGGATGTGAAGTCATGGTATGTGACAACCTTAATCTCCCCTTTAGGGATCAGGGCTTCGATGCCATCATCTCCATAGGAGGTAAGGCAGCCAGTCACACATTCACTCTTTGCCATGAGAACAATTGATGTGGCTGAGGCCAGTCTCATGACTCAACATCCATTCTTTTTTTTTTTTTTTTTTAAGGTTTTTAAGACATTTATTTTAGAGCCTTTGTAAAATCTTACATTTAGGGCAATTGATTTCAAAATACGGTCATTTGCTGCATAACGACCTTTTGGTCAATGAAGGTTCACACATACAATGGTGGTTCCATAACACTATAATGGAGTGAAAAATCCCTATCACCTAGTGACATCTTAACCTTCCAGGGGATCATAGAACAATGCATGCTCACATGTTTGTGGTAATGCTGGTAGAAACAAACCTACTGCCAGTCGTATAAAAGTCTACAGTTGTGTACAGTACATAATACTTAATAAAGATAATAAATGACTATCAATGTCCATTCTGTATAAAAAGAACTATGTAATTCATTTTATCTAATTAAAAAAATATATTTCAACTACCTGAGTTATTTGACTAATCTCAAATGCACTTATGGTACATATGATTGTTTTAACTATTTAAACCTTCAAACTTATTGTATTCTTTTTGATGATTCATTCCAGTTTCTTTTACTTATGAGTAAGAAAGTATTAGAGGAATCTTATTCATTTAAGATAGTACTTCATTATGTTGAAATGAAGCCAAATTCTTCCAATGCAAGGTAGATTTTTGGAAGTGATATTACCTTTTTCAGGCCACAATAATGCCCATTATTAACAGAGAATTCTAGGACTAACTCACTGAATGTCACCTGAACCAATCTGCCACTCACTGATACTCAGATTCCTGGAGATGGGTCCCACCTGGTCCCAGATTGCATTGTTTTTATAATGCCATCTGCTCTCTTACTGCTAGAGATTGTTCATGAGTCTAGATAATGCATTCCTTATATTCCCAACAAGTGCCCAGAAAACACACATGCCAAAAAATGAAAAAAACAAAAGCAGAAAAATCCATTCCTGAAATAAACACAGGTAAGTCTCATTTTACCCAGTACTTGTATTCCTGACACCTAATATGTTAGTCATATTTAAATATGGTAGGGGACTTGTTATTTAAGAGAATCCTATGACAAGTTCTTTTGCAATGGAAAAATCTTTTGCAAAGCAAATTACTTGCTCCAATACACTTTTAAAAATTAATCTATTTGAATATAACAAGCTTTACCAAAGCAAAGTGATTTTACATAAAACTGGCTGCAATTCCAGTAAAAATACAGAGTAAGACTGTTTGCTGTCTCCTGAAATAGATGAGACATCAATTTATTCAACATTATGTGGAGACTGTATCTTTGCATGGTGAGGGATGTAGGCCTGGATGCTATAAGCTTGTGACTAGTTAGGACCAGCAAGAGATGCTTGCCATGGGAGCCAGCTCTATTACAGTCTACTTTGCAGTTGAAACTGTTAGGTCCATTTTGGTTTTAAGTAATAAGAGGAGTGTTTTAGTCTTCTCAGGCTGCTACATCAAAATACCATGGACTGGGTGGCTTAAACAGTAGACCTTTATCTCTCAGAATTCTGGAGGCTGGAAGATTGAGATCAGGGTAACAGCAGGGTCAGGTTCTGGTGAGGACTCTCTTCCTGGGTTGCAGATGGCTGCCTTCTTGCTGTGTCTTTACATGGGGGGAGGAGTTGGAGGGAGAGAGAGACAAAGAAAGCTCTAAGATCTCTTTTAAGCACACTACTCCCATCATGGGACCATCACCCTCATGACCTCATCTAAGCCTAATTACCTCCCAAAGTTTCCACCTCCTAATACCATTAACTGGGGGTTGGGGCTTCAATATATGAATCTTAGGAGGACACAGACATTCAGTCTGTAACAAGGAGGGGATCTTGCTGAGTAAAGCAACACTACACAATACTTTAAATCTTTAGTGGAAAAAGTTTTTGGTTTGGTCATTTCACCTAAAGGACTAGACATCAGAGAGCAGTCAGAAAAGTACATATACTCTTTCCTCTTCTTTTGCTGACATTAGTTTTAGGATCTGCAAGACTACCTACATCTAGGCCACACCATTGAGCCAAGGTTGCAGGGAAGGGATATGAGGTTTCCTGCTTTGGGGAAATTCTCCATGTGAACCTGGTTAAATCCTTCTCTGTTTTCAGGTTAATCTCATGCGTACTATCAGAGAAAATGAAGCATCCCTGGTTACCATCTTCTAATTAAAAATGTTTCCTTAAGTGGAAAAACAGTATGCATTTTTATGAACTGTAGCTATGAGTTAATGTGATGTGATCATTTTCAGTTAGATTTCACATTTAGAACTATTCTATGAGAAATTTCAATAAACTATCTCTCTCTGTCCATAAATATTTGCTTCCCTATTTTTAATTTTATGTCTTGGCACTTCTTGCTTATCTTAACATGAAGAAATATATTTTCCATATTATTTCTATTCCATACTATTAAGAGACCATGTCTCTCCATAATAATGTGAAAGATAAGCATCATACCTAGTTACACATTCACTATATTTTACTATCAGATTAGAAAAGAGAAACACTCTTTCTACTTACCTTTGTAATGTGCTGACAAAATTCTAGGAAACTTTGGCAACATAGTGTCAATCAATTACATGTTTTATGCCAATGAGTCTCAACTGGGGGTTATGATGCTCCGCCCCTCTCTCCTGGGGACACTGGCAGTGTCTGCAGACATTTGGGGTTGTCACACTGGGTGCGTGTATGTGTGCTAATGTCAGCTAGTCAGTGGCTCCCCACAGAGAAGAATTATCTAGCCCCAAATGTCAGTAATGCTAAGGTTGAAAAACCCTGCTTTATGCTAAAACCATAAATTTTGAATGCTTATAGTTAGAGAGATGAGATACATACACTTGAAATGTTAAATAACAATAAATAATAAAATATCAAGATGTAACAGGACTCTAAATGTGATTTTGTGTAACTTCCCATCTGATTCTGGAATCCAATATTGAATTTAGCTACCTATTTTCTGGGCTCTCATCAGGAGAATATTGCTATAGGATACATATATTGAATACCGTTTTTGCCTTCAAGTTATGATTATGATTTTTAAATGAAAGGGTATGTTTTTATCTTTTAAAAATTCAACATAGTTTCCTGACATTGATATTTCGGATAAATATATCCTCATGTCCCATTTTAGTTATATTTACAATGTTTCTTAATAGAACATGTATGTATATGCATGTATAAAACATTTTTATGTTATGAAGAAATCTTCATTTGTAAACTTTTCTTTTTGCAAAAGCATTTGGCTTAAAGGTTGTTACTTATTTCATGTTAAAGATAAAACATAATACAAAAGATGCAGATATTTCCTGGGTGAAATTATGGTATTTCAAGTGATTGGAAATGAATGATCACTTATTCATTATAAACTTTCTTAAAAAAACAAAACTTCTTTCAAAGCCCAATAAAATCCTGAAATGTTGCTATGAGTCTACTGAAGAGAGACTATTGTATTAAAATAGTCCTATTTTAATGTTTTTTTTCTTTTATGGCCCCCAAAATAAATACAGCCAATTATCATTCACCACAGTAATGTTCTATAAAATCTCTGTGAACACTGAACTAGAAAATTCATTGGAATACAGGATCCAGGAGTAATACAGGATCGGGTTTCTGGGAGCCTCTGGTCACAATGCTTTTGTCAACTAATCAATACATGACTTTGTTTAATGTGTGCTTCTGTTTAAAGATACTTTACTTAATTTTACACTTAGGCCAACAACACTATGACTCATGCCTGAACTAAACTCATCCAACCCATGTATTTTCTCCACAAGGCACCTCAGCCGTCTCATGCAAGTGCTTGATAACATGTCAGCACTATGCTTGGAGGTCATTTTAAATAGTGTAATCACCAACAAAAAGCACAAACGTGCAAAAACTGTGGCCCTAAGTAGACCATGAAGAGAAACTCGCTCACAGTATTAGAGTTCAGATAGAAGGCAGTGCAGCGTGGTGGACCACCTCTGTGGGGAACACACACATGGGAGGCTCGAATTCACTCTGCACCTGTAGGTGAAATGACCCCCAAACCTGGGAGTATTGATTTTGGGGGTTCCACATAAATTTTATTGAGTGGGAAAGTTGGCAAATACAGAATCTTTGAATAATAAAAATGGACTGTATTTAGAAAACATACCCATAGAAGTTCTAGAGTGAATGAGATGCAAGTTATGGGAGACACTGATGGCTCTGAGTAGTCACACATAGACATGCGCATTAGTGATGTGTTTAGTCTTTCTCCATCCTGACCCGGTGCCTCCTTTCAGCTCGGGAATCAAGACAGTGCTTCTAGAAATGCCATGCTTTCAAATGAACCATAATAAAGGGCTCTTTGAGGGGTGTGAGAGGGGGCAGTCTGAGGCTAGAGTGATTGGTCAAAGATCCCCAGGCTAGTTGTCGATAGATCTAGGATGAAATATATTGGTGCCTTGTTCTTCAAACCCATTTTGCCCTCATACCTCTGGCTGTCCTGCACTGCTGCACGGCACAGTACAGACACCGGGGTGCTGTTGGTGGAGATGAAAACCTGATCACTAACAAAACAAAGTGTGCCTGTTGAAGGATCTTCCTTTGACAGTTTTATCTATACAAGAATCTCCTTTAGAAGAGAACAAAGAAAATGGAGAGGAAAAAATTATCTAATAAATAATATAAAAACAACAACAAAAAAGAAAGGTGGTAGACTTGCATCCAACCATATTAATCATTCCAATTAAAGTGATAGTAGAAAATTTGTGAGAAAGGTATCAGTAACACCACCATTGTCCACCATTTAACATATTTTTATTTGTTAGTATGTTTTAATGCCTGTTTGTTTTAGTTTCACACCGGTTAGGTGTGAAATTGGCTCCACATAGAAGGAAAAACTCACTAGGTAATTTTCAACCAAGGCTCCATCAGCAAAGATCCCTCAATAGAGAGTAACACAGGGATGTAACGATGCTGCTGCTGCTGCCATGGGTGGAAATGCTTGTTTATTTAATTGATGGCTGCTGCCATGGGTAGAAATGCTTGTTTATTTAACTGATGGCTGCTGTCATGGGTAGAAATGCTTGTGTATTTAACTGATGGCTGCTGCCTTCATCAGAGTGCTAGGGACATGAAATGATGTAGACCGGACACAGCAAAGGGACACATTATCTTGTATACTCTCTTGATCGCCAGTGCTAACTGTTCTTGTGAGTTTGAAGCCCATACTTGGTGCCTCAAATAAAGTAAGACATGAGTCACAAGAAAAAAAAGAAAAGAGTGTCCTTTTAGATATTTAGTATGTCTCTGTGGCAGGTAAACTACAGAGATTCATTTGCCTACCACCCTTACTAACAGCTGGATATTGGTGCGTGTTAGAGGGACGTTTTCAGCCTTTGTCTCTGCACTCACTACTTGCAGCAGAGTAGGAGTCTCCCAACTTTGCTTGGGACTGATAATATTCCCTGACATATTTTGTAGGCCTGTGCATGGAAAACTAATTTGATGTCCTCTCTTGAAACAGTGCTGTGATTAAACTCCCCAAGGAACTCACAGGCTAGCACTTTCTGTGTATTGGTAGATAAAAATAATAACACACTTAGCGACTAGATAAAGCCAGTCTTGTTTGAATCTCACTTTGACTTTGCAGGGATTGGAAGTAAAATGATGACCTAGAAATTGATATTTTTAAAATAGGCACAATTTTATATTGTACTACCACTTTCAAAAGTTATAAGCAATCATTTTGACTTGGGTTAGACTGGCTTATCTTTGCATCATCTAAACAGAAAAACAATGTCTTTAACATTTTTCTCTACTTCTATGTGCTTTATTAATTTTATCAACACCAATTAGTCGTGTTCATCCTTTATTGCTTTAGAAGTACCAATTATTCATTAAAGCAATGAATTATTTCATAGAATTCTACCAGGGAACACTTATCTAACTTAGTACCCTTTTCAAATTTTAGTAGTTCACACTGGCCATCCTTCTGGTTAACAGAATTTGTAAGATTTTTTGGAACTGGAAGAGACCTCACAGATGTATTTATTCTAGGCTTCTTATTATAGCTAAGAAACCTTAATGTCTAGGGAACTTAAACGACTTGCCCAGTATCAGCTCTTTAATAAGTACAGGAGCCGAGGCTGAAAGTTATGTCTTTCCTATGCTATTTCTACCTTGCCATGTAGGAAATGAGGTTTTACTATATGTCAAAATTTTATCATTGTTAATGGAAAACACTAGTATACAAATGTGCATGTTTCTGTGTGTGTATACATGTTGAGACACAGTTTTTTCTTTTGCAGTCATACATCACTTTTCTACAAAACAAAGAAGAATCAGAGCAATAAAAGAAATGGCCAGGGTCTTGGTTCCCGGAGGCCAGATGATGATTTATGTTTGGGCAATGGAACAAAAGAACCGTCACTTTGAGAAGCAAGATGTGCTTGTCCCATGGAACAGGGCCTTGTGTTCCCAGCTCTTCTCAGAATCCAGCCAGTCTGGGAGGAAGAGGCAGTGCAGACATCCGAAAACAAGCCATCTCTCCCATCCACCTTGCTCTGAGTGTAGCTGTTCTGTTTGTTTTAAAGAGCAGTGTGGTTCACAGCGGTCCCACAGCGTGGACTATGAACCTGCTATGGCTGGAACCTGTTGCACAAATATTGCCAAGGAAGGTGAGGAAGACTATGGATTCTATAACACGTTAGGAAAATCTGTTCGTTCCTGGTTTTTCTCCCGATCTTTGGATGAATCAACTCTGAGGAAGCAAATTGAGACAGTGAAACCCTTGAAAAACCCAGAAGGTTGGACTGACAGTGCTATATCAGTCCAGCCTTCCAGACGTTCTAGTTTAGACTTTGATTGCCAAGAGCCATTTTCAACAAAAGAGCAAAACTTAGATGATGAAGTGTTTCTGGAAACTTCTTCTCGAAAACACTTGGAGTGGCTGAGAGCACCAGGCACTTTGAAGCATCTCAATGGAGACCATCAAGGAGAAATTAGGAGAAATGGTGGGGGGAATTTTCTAGATGGCATGAATACCAAGGAGGATTGCATGGATGTGGGTAACTTAGAAGAAGGTAACCCTTCTGCTAGTAAAATATTGAGAAGGATTTCTGCAGTCGATTGCACTGATTCCAACCCAGATGACACAATTTCTGTCGAAGAACAGCCTGACATTTCGGATTCCAGAGCCTTTATGCGCTACTACCACGTGTTTCGAGAAGGTGAGCTGTGCGGCCTCCTGCAGGAGAACGTGTCAGAGCTGCATGTTCTGAGCTCGGGGAATGATCATGGCAACTGGTGCATCATTGCAGAGAAAAAAGAAAATTGTGATTGATTGGATCATTTCAGACAATTTTTCACTAAGTTTGATGGGATTATCTGAACTTGGATCTGATTTTATTATTTTTTAATCCCTTTATGCTTTGGTCTGTAGAGACTATGAATTGATCATCTTTTTAATCTTTGGGTAAGCCCAGAGCCTGGCACCTAAAGCACTTGACAAAGAGTATTTGTGTTTAAATGTTAATGTAAAAGATCTGAAGAAGCAATAGAAAACGTACTTCGGTACAGTTTGGATTTATTTTCTCCCTGAAAGATGAAATTCTTATAAGTATACATGTATATTATTTTTCAGTATTATACATTGATTTTAAAAGGTTCTGTTGTTAAATATATCTTTTAAAACAGTATTTTTTTATAAAGTAAGAGGGTAATTTCTGGTTCTCAGGTTATAATTTAGATCTGCGTGCAAGATAACAGGTAAATCTATTCCACTGCACAGATACATACTGAACCACTGGATAAGTCGTTTTGTTGCCAAGTCTGGTTTCTACTTAAAGTCTTCAGAAACGTGAGTGATGGTCGAGAGAGACAAGTGCTACAAGGGCTTCTCTAAGTTATAAGCCAACTTGCTTTCAGGATAAGCACGTGTTGTGTTCAGTGTGGCTCAGATGGTCTGTGAAGGCACTGTAGAGAGTGCAGTATCCAAGTGGTATTTTTCCAGCCTTATTAGAAACTTGAATATTTAGTCAGTTAAAATAAGACAAAGAATGGCTAATGAGTTTTCATCTAGAATTATGCTTTTCTTATGAATTGAAGGAGTATTTAGGAAAGAGAATCTGTTCAAAGCACTGTTTTATTTTGGCTCTGAGGATAAATATGAGGGGTACTCAAAAAGTTCATGGAAAGATTTATAATGTCTTTTTTTTTTTTTTTTTTTTGTCTTTTGTCTTTTTCCGTGTCCGGCAACGGATCGCAACCCTCAGTGTTGCCCCCGTACCGGACCGGGGACCGGCAACGGGATTGCAACCCTCGGTGTTGCTCCCGCGCCTCGCTCAGCCAGTGAGCGGGAACCGGTCTGTATGTGGGATCCGAACCCTCGGGCGGGAGCGCCACCGCGCTTCCCAAGCGGCGCACTATCCAGTGCGCCACCGGGCCGGCCCAATATAATGTCTTTTAATTCCATTTTTCCATGACGTTTTTGAAGGGCCTTTGTAGATTGCTAAGGTGTAGGCTATTTGGCCTTGGTGGAGATATGACTGGGATTTGTTGTCATATATTAAAAAATAATATCCAGGCATTTATTTTATTGAAGGTGACCACATTTTATTAGTTAAATTAGGGATTTAAACAGAATCAACTTCTACTAAAACAGTGTTGAATTTCTGCCACTTTATAGGACTGGGCATTGTGTGGTCACTGTATCTATTTAGATTTAGCCATGGGTCTTTTTAAATTTATGTCATGAATTCTGAGACATAAATATAATTAGGACAGGACTAGAGACCTAGGAGAAGGAAGTTGACCCAGGAATATGGTCTCAGATATATATTTAATGAGGAGAAATCAACCTTTGACAAAAGACTTTTTACTTTATGGACTGCTGTAATCCTGGATGAAAATCCAATTCCTCTTGTATTTTTCCACTAAAATTAACTAAAATAGCGATGGATTTCACTTGTCTTGTGGTTCTTTTTTCCTTCAATGATTGTCCTATAGCTTAAAATAATGATATTGCTTTGGAGAAATTTAAAGGATTACTTTTAAAGTAGATCTGAAAATTATTGATATTTATACTCTCTTTTGGCTTGAAAATAAGATCATGTCAGCACTGTTTAGGTGGAGGAGATTGTCTGGTAGAAATGTTAACATATGACCTGTATTGTTCAGGGCATGCTTTGCATTAGGGGAACAATGAAAACAGACGTAGAAGTGGAGTACAAATTAAAATTTAATTTAGTGTGTCTTCCATTTTTTAAATTCGGACATTAAACCATGAGGATAAGTGGTTTTCTTGGTGGAACGAAAAGATACTTAGAGTCAAAGATGTTCTTACAACTAGGGCTTGATGGCCTTTTTATTAAGACTGGATTTTTCATCTCTCTAGAGCCTGTTGTCACATCTGTCTTTAATCCCAGCCTTGCTGCTAGAAATCTGTGCTTTATGTCATCTCTTTCTGGTGGCCTACCACTTAAAGGTCATTACGTGGAGTTCAGTTTATCACTGTGCCAGAATAGCTTTCGAGCTGCACACAGACACACACACACATACACCACTGCAACCACCACCCCCACTTTGTATAAAAGGGTTCTCTAGAATGGTTCTTGGGAGGGAAATATTTTTACATAATTTTGACAGGGCTGTAAATAAAATCCCACTAACAATAGCAGTCTTTCATTTTTCACCTGCTGAGCACAAGAATTCTGTGAATCCAGACATTACTTTGTATACAAATATTTAACTTGGTGGTTGATAACCTTTCTTTGGGATATTTGTGGGAAAAGCACTCTTAAATTTAACTTCTGCCTTTGGATTTTTTTTAAAAATTCATTGAAGAGCCAAACTAATTGTAAATATCTCTGTCATTTAAGAAGCTTGCTTGTCTTTAAGATTGTTCTCAAAAGGAAATATAAGTCATAAATGAGTGTAAGTTAGACAATTTATTTGTAAGTGTCCAGTCACTCTCAGTTTGCTTGATTATAGATTTTACTGATCTATGTGAAATAATTTGAAAACTTACTCCATTATTAGTACTGGATCAAATAGTGTCAATATTTTCTTCTTTACTTACTGACATCAGCACAGAGTCCCACTATCTGAAGTAAAGGGCAGAGTTTGCAGGATTATTGGAGAATCCTTAAAAACGGTTGCTGGCTTCCTGGTGCCTCACTGGCCTAATTGAGGAATTCTGTGTAAACGGTTAGATGATTTGGGGGAAAGTGCATTAACATGGACGAAGGATGTGATCAAAATAATGTTATAGTGGGAGCCATGCAAGTGGCCTATTTAAATTATTATTTTTTCAATTGTCAATGCAGTGATGAAATGCCACCAGCTTGTCATAGTAACTAACAAACTCTCTACACAAACATCATGGTGCATCATATTGGTTTGGTTCTCCTATCTCATCACACATCCCTGTGCAGAATAGTGTTAACTCGTCTTTCTAGTTTGCCTTTCTATTTCCTTCCAAATTCTCAATGTCAAGAATTCCTCTTGACAAAATTCCAAGTATTTTAACTGACCATCAGTTTAAGGGGCAGAGATTTGGAGGTAATCCAAAGAGAAAATAATCCAAGTATAAATCAGCTAGGGACATAAATACACTTGTATATTAATGGCCACAAAAAAGTATAAGGACTGGGTGTTTAAAAAAATAAATAAACAAACATGGGTTTGGAAGAGAATAGAAAGTCTAACTCATTAGTTGAACTTGGTGGGGGAGGGTACTCCTTAAAATGAGCCGTAAGAACCCAGTTTGGGAGGGAGGGGGAAATTGGGACCAACTACTGGCTAAGCAGCCGCAGTCTAGGAAGAACAAATTAGGCAGGCCATAGCCTTCCAGTCTATTACATAGCTGCTATTATTATTTCAAATTTTCTAACTTTTTAAAATATCCAACATCTATTATTTTATTTGAAATCTTTACAATAGCCCTGTGAGGTAAGTATACTTATTGTTCCCATTTTTCAGATGAGGAAAACTGAGGCAGAAAGAAATTGACTAAACCGCCCAGGGTCACACACTTAGTAATTATCCCACATCTAGCCAGTGGCGGAGCTGAGATTCAAACCCAGGAAGTCTGGTCCCCAGCCTGTGCTCTTAACCACGACACTGTATCCTCCCACACGCTGTTCCCAATCACTGTGCTAGGCGGGCTGTATGAGCCTTGCGAGGTAAGTGTGCTTATCTCCTTTACAAATGAGCTTTAGTGAAGTTAAGCAAAGATTACACCGCTAGCCAGTAATTGGATGGTGATCCCTTACATATCCTTCCCCATCTTTTATATATATATTTCATTTGTATGTCTGTTTCGATTTGATTTTAATTAAAAAATAATTCTTTTTTTTTTTTTTCCTTTTTGTCTTTTTTCATGACCGGCAACGGATCGCAACCCTCAGTGTCGCGCCCGTACCGGCCCGGGACCAGCAACGGGATCGCAACCCTTGGTGTTGCTCCCTGCACCTCACTCAGCCAGGGAGCGGGAACCGGTCTGTATGTGGGATCTGAACCCTCAGCGGGAGCACCACCGGGCTTCCCAAGACTCAGCCAGTGAGCGGGAACCGGTCTGTATGTGGGATCTGAACCCTCAGCGGGAGCACCACCGGGCTTCCCAAGACTCAGCCAGTGAGCGGGAACCGGTCTGTATGTGGGATCTGAACCCTCAGCGGGAGCACCACCGGGCTTCCCAAGACTCAGCCAGTGAGCGGGAACCGGTCTGTATGTGGGATCTGAACCCTCAGCGGGAGCACCACCGGGCTTCCCAAGACTCAGCCAGTGAGCGGGAACCGGTCTGTATGTGGGATCTGAACCCTCAGCGGGAGCACCACCGGGCTTCCCAAGCGGCGTACTGTAGCAGTGCGCCACCGGGCCGGCCCCTAAAATATAATTCTTGATCAAAAATACTCTGTGATCACTTTTCTCCAACTCTTCAATCCTTTATAAATTATATGACTGTTTTCCCATTTTATAAGTGAGGATGAGATTGAGGGCTATTCAGATATTTAATTCATTCTACTTGTTTACTGAGAGCCCCACTGTGTGCCAGACACAGGATGTGAGGCAATGAATATCTGGGGTCATGAGTGTGCCCAACATATTAGAATTAACTGACCTAATTTTAAGTGCTAAGCAGAAACATTTTTCATATTTCTTGTCTATCTATTACTATGTTATATTGTTTAGTTTTAAAAAAGGAATATACAGGGCCGGCCCCGTGGCTCACTTGGGAGAGTGCGGCGCTGGTAGCGCCGAGGCTGTGGGTTTGGATCCTATATAGGGGTGGCCGGTGCGCTCACTGGCTGAGCGTGGTGCAGACAACACTGTGCCAAGGGCTGTGATCCCCCCACCAGTCAAAAAAAAGTAATATACAGCCCCCTTAGAGAATCAGAATGCATATCAGCATATTTAAGACCTACTCTAAGGTAAACCTGGACTTAATTTAACTGAGCTTGACCTAGACATATTAACCCTATAGCACAAGTGTTGTGTGGAATATATTTCAAAAAATAATACGTTTGATAGAACACAAACCCCTTTAGATGGCATTCAGGCCCTTCATAAATGGACTCAATTATTTTTCAGCCTTATTTCCTGCAGTTGCACCTCATTTTTTCTGTTCTTCAACCTGCAATTTTAAACAATTTCATTAATTAGAAATTACATAATGACAAGTAATTATCACATCCCCTAGATATATTCTTGGATTTAAAATACCATAATTGTAAGCCTTCTCCAAACAAAAATGCATGAAACAGGCTTCATTCCATCAAGGGGCATGTAAGTGTTATTATGCACCCGTCCAACAGACGACAGAACCATGGGAGTGGGAGGGAGTTGCAGAAGTGTCGGCGGACCCTAACTCACAATGCTCAGCTCCTTGTTCCAGTCTCAACTCAGAATTATGATTATTGTTTTCATATTATAAACTCCATATTTGCAGCCTCAGTTACTTAGAGAACTGGAGTGGGAACATTTTAAAAGCACTCTTACCAACCAAGGATTGAAATTATAATGCAAATAGAAAGCATTCGGCATAAGAGCACAGAAATAAGCCTAAGAAGTAAGCAAATCAGAGCGAGAACACTGACTGTGAGTTGTCCTATTTTGATTCCCCAGGGGTCCTACAGTATGTAATACATTGATAGCAATGTGAGTCATTTCAGTTACGCCACATGCTCTGTCCC